CAAAGCCTGCGTCCCAGGGATCCTCTACCCACCAAAGCCTGCGTCCCATCAACCCGTTACCCACCAAAGCCTGCGTCCCATGATCCTCTACCCATCAAAGCCTGCGTCCCAGGGATCCTCTACCCACCAAAGCCTGCGTCCCATCAACCCGTTACCCACCAAAGCCTGCGTCCCATGATCCTCTACCCATCAAAGCCTGCATCCCAGGGATCCTTTACCCATCAAAGCCTGCGTCCCAGGGATCCTCTACCCACCAAAGCCTGCGTGCCATCGATCCATTATCCATCACACAATGGCTACCCATCACACAGTGTTCCAGGCGAGGGTCTGGGGGAGTCCCACACTGAGCCCCAGCTCCCTGCCTTCAGGGAGTGACCTCGCAGTCTCGCTCTCTGCTGCGCATCTCTCCCCTCCCTTCCCACCTCTGCTGCTCTCTCTCCACTGCCCTCCCCCCCACCACCACCCCGCTCTCCTCTCTTTCTTAGGCACATGCCGCATCACTGCCACATTTATCTGCTGTGTTCAGAGATCGGACATCTGTTCAAAGCTGCTCAGGTGTGAGAACGGAAGAGGACAGCTGCCCCCTCCAGAAGCTCAGACCTTCTCCCATGCGGGAAGAAGGAGCAAAGGAGTAATTCCACATAAGCACATACACTTATTCTACTTAGGGGGGGACTTCAAAAAGTTTCATAAAATGAAATGAAATTGCAAGCTTATTTTGGTGCAAAAATTTTGAAATCCATGGCCACAAGAGGATTTTAAGAAGTTCATGGAAAACGCAGATGATGGAAAAAACTATGCATCAATTTCAATTTTCTGCACCAAAGTGGATTTATGTTTAAATTCCATTTATCCAGGGGTTCCTTGATGTGTATACCCACAGACACGAATCACACCACTCACACACGTGTGTGTGCAGTTTGTCACACTCATCACACTACTCTCACTGCAAGCAAATAGGAACCTCCCACTCCTCTCTCACAAGACCCACTTCCTTTCGTTTAAGCACTGAATTCTTCCTGGGGCGCCTGCAACTTGTTTTCCCACACCTTTCAGATACGGAGCTGGCACAGCCTCAGACGCGGTTAGAGAAAGGCTGCTTCCCTCCTGCCAGTCACCAGAAGACCTTTGAATCAAGGACAGACACTCACCAGCCATCAGCAGAGGCTCCTCTGTGGAGGCTTCAGCAAGACCGCACCCCCTCCCCCAGGAAGCCCGCCCTTCCCTCCCCCTCCCCAAGCCGGAATCTCGCTGGGCGGCACCGCGGGACTCTCACGGCTGTCTCCCCCACTGCAGCCTGGGCCTCCCTCTGGAGCCCATGCCCTGGGAACCCCGTGGGCCAGCTCAGCCCTGTGCAGGCCCGCGCTCCACTGCGCAAGGGGAGGTGATCAACAGTCGGCGATCGCTTTTAATGAATCACTTTCTTGGAGATGAGAAGTGTGTCTCAGAGGAAAATCTAATGCACCAGAAAAATGGAAAAGTTGTAGCATAATAGCACATCAGTGGGAACAGGAACATGCCAGCTTTTAGGACTCACTCCACCCACAGAACTCGACAGGTTGTGTCAGCTGCTAGGGAGAGGGGCCAAGGAGCTTCAAAGTAAGCCCACGTGATAGCCGGGCGCTACAAGGAGGGACAATGGCAAGAAGCTGTCAGTCTCCTCGCTTCTGCTGTGCCCTCCATGCTTATCCTAAAGACACGTGCTATGTCTCCAATACAGGCTAATGCTTGCTGCCAGAAAGAGTCTTAAATTTTACCCTTTTTAAACACCGGTTTCCCACTCTAGGAGCAGGTGCGATTTTTAGCCACATTGTCATTGATAAACAAGGAAAATCAGGAGAGCTGCCCTTTATTTGGGTAAATATGATTACCTAAATTATAATGCATCAAAATGATGCATGCCACTGATCAAAATAAACTTGAGAAGGAAGGAAACCACGCATGGTAGGATGTTATGACTAACATCAGTGGGCGAGCGTCGGGTGTCATCTCCTCCACACTCACCATTAGCTGATCACCGTCTAATAACCTCCTCCACTTCCTTGCAGCAGAAATTAAACAGACATGGCTCAGTCAGAGCTAACCGGGGCCACCCCAGGGAGGTGAAACTGTGACTAGGCCGTCCCCGGGAGGCACGGGCCCTGGCGAGGGGGACAATTTAGAGCAGGCAGCACCCCCAGCACCCTCTGGGTGGCCCTGCCCCTCCGCAGGCACAGCGCCAGCTCAGGTGGGAGAGCAGGGATGGGGGCTCTCTGCTCTGCAGGCCATGGGGACGGAAGACAACGATGGCTCCAGACTCACGTCAGAGACAGCAGCAGAGAGCGACATCACCACACTCCTATAACCAAGCAAGTCAGAAACTCCGCACTCTGCCCCAGTCGGCCCAACACACGCGGCCTGGGGAGGCGCGGACCTGCAGCTCAGCACCGCTGCGGTGCCCCCCGCCCAGGGCTGATTCTCCACCCCATCCCTCACCTCAGCGGCAAAGAGCTGCACCAGGGAACCCAGAGGGGGCAGGCTTGGGGTGGGGGCAGGACAGCCGACAGTAGAAACAGGAGCCAGAAACAGAGGCCCATACGTAACACGGCCTATGAGCCCTACCTTTTTCTTGGACACTTCTGACTTCTTGGACATGTTCTTCAACTTTTTATGCAGATGACTGAGGACCTGGAAAACACAGATGGGTGAACCCGGTTTGCCTCACGCCCCCGCGCTCACTCTCGTTTTTCACGGATGACCACTGGCGCTCCGCCGTGGTCACCTACAAAATCATTAGCATGAAAACGTACAGAAATGGCCCGCAGCTGATGAAGCTCAGCGAGTGAGCTGCCAGGGGCACCTGCTCTTCCCACACTCGGGGGTGTCCCAGGAAGTCGGACGCACACCCAGATGCACTTTGCAGCGTGGGGGGTCCTGGCGCCTGCGGCCCTGGGATGTGTTCCTTGAGAGCCACCCCCACCGGGGCCCAGGCAGGCACACACCTGTCTGCCTCTGCCGTGGTGACTCCCGGAATCCACGAGTAACTCTCAACAGGTCCCCACGAGATGTCAGGCACAATGCTGGATCCCACACACACTGAAACACTAGACACCTTCCATCCAGTTCACCACCCCCGGGGAAAGCAGAGGTGAACAAGGAAGAGCCCACACTCAGGCCACTCCTCATTCGGTAGCCCCTCCTCTGCCCTCCCTGCATGCCTGTCCCCATGGCCAACCCCCTGCAGGCACACTGCCGGCCCCGGCCTGCTTTCCTCCCTTGCTCCAAGCCTACCCAGCACGCCGTATCGTGACACAACCCACATTTCAGGCATTCGACATCACCGAGGATTAATCCACTGTTCTGCAAGGTTCTACAACTATGTCCCTGTCCGTGAGTACTTTGAGGCTTCTCTGGTACAGAAAGCAGCTCTCTGTCCCTGCAGTGTGTTTCAGGAGCAACGGCGTGAGAACTGTTGCTTGTATGTACGACTTCCCAACACAAACCTGATATCCAACAGCACCAATCGGGAACTCGTGCCTGAGCTGACTTTTACCTCCCAACTGAGAGGAAATTTAGGAAAAAAAATAGCATCTGATGCCCTAGAGCGTGGATACCACACTACTGAGAGTCTCTCGAGAAGCGGGACACACGTTCCTGGCACTCCTCGGTCTCCCTGTGGCCCTGCGGCCTGCACTCCCTGAAGGTCCTGCCCCGTCCAGCAGGACGCAGCCGTCGTGCTCCAGTGGAGAAACCACAGCGTGTGCTCGCCAGACTTCCAGGCCCTGCAGCGGGTAAGTGGCCGTCCCTGTGGCACGGGTTCTGATTTCAGACCCTCTCCCTCACTTCCTGACACGGCCATGCACCAGCTATGGCAGCACAGCCCTTCACTCCCCACGGGGGCGCGTGGATAACCCTCAGTGCACTGGCAGGGGACGAGGCCACCGTTCCAGCAGGAATAATCAGGGTACCAAAAACTGAAAGGAAGGCACGTGGCACAAGAGAGATTTTGCAGGAGCAAATAGGAAAGCATTTCAAACGGGAAGAAAAGAGTTTATTCTTTCAACAAACTAACCTGGGTCACAGCTGAGTAACCCCAGAGCATCCGAGAACACCAGACGTGGCAAACGGTCAGTGGAGGAAATACTCCAGCGCATTCTCCATGGCTGTTCCCCTCAATGTGTGCCCGCACTCTGCACACACCGCTGTGCGTGGTGCATCCCAATTGGGGGGGGTCCCCCCAGGGGTGATGATGGTGCTCTCTAAAAGGCAGTGCCGGGGCCGGTGCTGTAGCGCGGCGGGTAAAGCCAGTGCCTGCAGTGCCAGCATCCCATATGGGCACTGGTTCGAGTCCCAGCTGCTCCACTTCCAGTCCAGCTCTCTGCTGTGGCCTGGGAGAGCAGAAGATGGCCTAAGTTCTTAGGCCCCTGCACCCATGTGGGAGACCTGGAGGAGGCTCCTGGCTCCTGGCTTCTCTCTCTCTCTCTCTCTCTCTCTCTCTCTCTCCCTGCCTCTCCTTCTCTCTGTGTGTAACTCTGACCTTCAGATAATAAATCTTTAAAAAGAAGAAGAAGAAGGCAGGGCTGAAGGTGTGGCCACAGACCTCACTCACTCCACACACAGGGAGGGGCCTGGTCAAACCCACCCCCAGGGCCATGCCGGGCACACCCTGGGGGTGTGGAGCATCTTGGTGGGGTGGGCAGCAGTTACTGGGAGCAGGATGCTCCCAAGGCCAGCCCCACAGCAGCAGTGGGCGCCCCAGGGGGTACTGCGCTGGTCGCCGGCATTTGTCCTCTAGTCACGTGTTCTGGACGCTCCCATGACTGACAGGTGCCGGAGCTGTTCCACTGGAAACCAGCAGGGTCTGGGGAGCACAGAGCACCTCTGGAAGCAACCCCTTTCAGCCAGGCCCGAACCTGCCCCTCAAGAACGAGATCCGCAGGTGCTAAGCACCACCGGCTGACCCAAGGGAGCACTGCAGGCCACACACCTCCACCTGTTCACACTGCCCTGGAAGGGGCTTGCAAATACTACTTCAAATTCAGAAGGCTTTTCCACTTAGAAGCAAGCAATTTCCAGAGAAAATCTGCAAATGACTGAGTATTTAAAAACGTTTTTTAAACTCTGCCCTCCGAGTTTTACAAGCTCTCAAACAACAGCAAGATGGCCAGTTTAGCCCTGAAGATTGACCCTGTCACTTCCACCAGCAGGATTTGAGCAAGTTCCCCCAGGCCTCTGGGGGAGTGAGGGAAGCGCTCGCTTTGGGTCTAAGGCAGGAAGCTAGGAACCCGGAAGGCAGCATTTTAAGTGTCCCCCCCGTCTCAAGCTCCATGCCCACAAGGCCCCCACTGTCTGCCCCTCCTCCATGCCCCTGGGCACCCCTGCTGAAAAGCCTTCCGGAACCATCTCCAGCTTGGCCCCCGGGGCCTCCACTCCTCTCGTCACTGCGGAGGGGACAGCAGCCGGCACCCACGGGGTGTGCGAGGCGAGTGAGACGGCACACAGGGACAGCTGCGCTGGGGGACCAGCCTCTGGGTTGCATTCCCAGACTCATGAATGAGTCAGCCTTCTCCCAACGGCCAGGCTAGGGGCCATTTCTGAATCCCCTACCTCCCCAGCACATCTGTTCACAGAACCTTCGGGTGACATCAAAAAACACTGCCACTCGCAGGAGACGTAGCCCACCTGGATGGCACAGAGAGGAGGAACAACACCAGCAGGCTTATGGCGAGAGGGTTTTTTTTTGGGGGGGGGGGGGGGGGAGAATGCCCTGGGAACCAATTCTAAGCCAGCATCTTCCTTCCACCCCCTGGGCTGTTCAGGGTCCTGTCGCCTCAGCCTTCCCAGAAACAGGGGGCCAGACCGACAGGGCGGAGCGTGGGCAGAAATTTCAGAATTTGGGGAGCTGTCTGTCTAGCGCTGAGGGCATGGGGGGGCTGTGTGTGCACACTGGCGTGCACCCCACGAACGCCACCCTCACTGAACACACATGCCTCCTGACACAGACATGGACCGGTCGTGTCACAGGTCAAGGTAGAAGTCCTCAGGTCCTCTGAGTAAGCGCAGGGGAAGGAGAACTGCCTTCCAGCAGCTGGGGCGCGGGCTAAGGCGCGGCCGAGGGCGCTGTGTTCCCGGGAGCCTCCCCCCAGGGTCGGGGATTCAGCTGTGGAAACGCGGAAGGCAGGGGTTCTACGCGGCCCCGGGGACCACAGGAAATGCCGTCTTCCCACCGGGGCTGACTACCGCAAAGCTCCGTTCTCCCAGGAGCAGCGGCTTCCCAGAGCCGGTCCTGGAGGGAGCTCCCGGCGGGCGCCCCCTCTCTACCCAGCGCAACCAGCACAGGGAGGGGGCGGCGGGCCCGACGCGCTCCGATGGACCCCGCGCCCAGCAGCGCCGCGCTCAGTGGCACCGGCTGCTCCCGC